CTGTTCTTTTCCAGCTGCATTGGGATAGAGTTGCCCTCTCTGTCCTTGAAGTCGTTAGAGCATGTGGACTGGCGATTTTGCCAAGCCACACAAGCTTATGATTTTGTTGATTGTGTTTGGTATCAAAATACATGAAGTCAGTCATCTGCACACCTGTTGGAGCCAAATGAGATGCTGTGGTTTTTATGGCACAGTATCCCAGCTCTGCCACATTCTTGGTACCCTGACTGTTGGGACTCAATGCCTGATGGATGTGATCTCTTCAGTTGCTGGAAGCACGGCCAGTTAGCTATCAAAGTAACAAAAGTGAAGGTGTGCGAATCTGTGTATTTTTACTGAAAGCCTTCAAAGAAAATGTTAGAGATAAGTAATTGGTTTACATTTTTATGTACTTTACATTCTTCAGAAGCATGTCTGCAAACCGGTTAATGTGGAATGTTAAAGAGCCAATGCAAAATTCATGTGTATTTTTAAAAATACGCTTGGCAAAAACCTCCCATGTAACTGTCATGCGTTGCTCCCACGTTTGCTGTTTTACCATAGAAGATTACCATGACATTTGTGTCAAAATGGAATCTTCCCAAGGTTTTATCAGCTTGCTCGTTTTCTTGACTTGTTCAGTGATGTTTTCTTTTCTGGTACCCTCTCAAATTTCTGAATTTTATAGTAGGTATTTTTATGGTGGGATTGTAGTGGAGATGCTGTAAGTACTGGAAAATAGCACTGCTGAAAGAATTCAGGAGTAGACAAGTGATGGAAATTCTCTGCAAATATTTCAGAGGAAACTGAAATAAAATGACTGGTGAATAAGGACATGAATGAAACTAGAAGCTGATTGAAATACTGAAGTGAAAAGCTTTCCCAAATATTAACAATCCTTAGTTTAAAACATTGTTTTAAAAGTTGTTGATTGTTCTCAAATTTTTGCCAAGTCTTCTCCAATCCTGTGTATTTCAGATAAATCTTTTTATTAAAAGGAGCTGTCATTACATATTTTTTTAAGCAGGATTTCTACACACTGTGTCTTGTTTTTCCTCTCAAGTACTTGCTAAATGAGAGTTGATACCAGTCAAATGAATCGTTAAATATGCAAATATTTGAGTAGCTGGAAAGCCTTGGAAGTTGATAAGGAAGTTGCAGCTAATGGATTTCACTAGTATGTGACAAAAGGCTGATTGGGGGGGGGGGAGGAAGGGAAGCAGCGTAGTGCATTAGCTGTTAACAGATCAACTCATTCATGTGGAAGATTTAAAGTGCATCATTATTTCTACCTGGTTATTTACCTCACCGTTTCCTTTCTCTTTAATCATTGGGAAGACAAAATTCTCTAATCTCATCCAAACTGTTTAGGATTTACCAGAACTTTTTAATGATTGCTGTGAAATATTTGCTTAATCATTTTATTCCTTTTTCAAATTCACCTTTTATGGCTTTGTTATATAAATTGCATACAAATAACAGGGGCCCTCCCTCTTCCTGATGCACACACACAGAAAATATTGTAAATTTGTCTAGGTAGAAGACTCTAAAATATGTAAAGTTTCTGTGGAGGACTTTTTCTTTTCTACTTGGTTTTGTTCTTGAAATTTTCATCTCTAGAATGCTAGGGGAGCCTTTTAAGTACACATCCTGTTTCTACACAGCAGAAGCTAACCACACATCTCAATAGGATCATAGAACTATAGAACTATAGAACAGGAGGATCCCGTCCCAACTCACCCAGTCCACCTCTTTTCCATGCTGTGCAATTCACCTCAAAACTGAACACGATCCAACTTAAAAGTAAGGATTTTTGCTTTCCCCCCACCCTTGCAATACTAGAAACTTGTGTCTCTGGTGAGCAGAAACCTAATTTCCAGTAAGTATTTGTGATATGTGTTTTACCCATTTGTCTTTGTTGCCAATGTTTTCATACACCTGAACAGCACTTCTCTGAAGTTTATCACCTTGGCTCAGACATAGTGTACAATCCTGTCCTCTTTCCCAGTCTTCAGTCAGCTAGGCTAAACAAGCCATGCATTTCTAATCTTTAAAACATAAATACAAAACAAAACCCCAAACAAATTCCTTATTCTGAGGTGTTTTGTGCACCTGTTCCAGTTTTAATTCCTTCTTCAGCCCAGGTAATAAGAATTGTGCACAGTTGCACAGTATTTTTCACAAGAGCTTATCCAGGCCTTGTGCGATGTCACGAGTAGCCCCTACCTTGATTGATTTATTTCTTCTGGTATGTCACAGCTTCCTTTTTCATGGATACTTAATATTCATAGTTCTTAATTATCCTGTATTTAGTAATCTCTTTCTTTCCAGTTAGTCACACCCTTGTTTGCAGCAGAATTTTTGGATACTAGTCCTTAAGTCTCAGCTCTCCAAAGTTATTAATAATCTTAACTCCCATTTAGGTGCCTTTGGGTTGTATGCTTGATCTCATTTATTTGCATTAGTCCTCAATATCATTTTACTAGGGTAAAGTGGAAGAGTAGCTCTGGTATATTTCAGATTAAGTATACCTATGGTTATTTTTACAGCTCTATAAAAGGCTTTAAAATCAACAGGTATGTTTGGATTGGCTTGGTATTTAATGTGTCACAGGGGAACCCAGAATGGGATTAGGCATCTGTGATCACTTTAACAAGGGAACCCCAAAATAGGCAGTCTCTTTGCCCAAGCCAGGAGAAAAAAAAAATTAAAGTTGACAGATTGTCAGCTTTTCTTTTTCCACACTTCTGATTATGAAACTTTGATTTTTTTTTTTTTAAATTTTTTTCTTTTTTTGGAAAAAGAACTGGAGGGCATATGTAGACAGCTAGGTTTTTTTATGTTTGTGCCAAATCAATTCCCGTGGCCACAGAAGCATATAGAATATGCAAGAATTTGCCAAATATACCATAAGACAGGGCATCTCTTTTCTTTAGCAGAACTAGACACTTATGTCTGCCTTTAATTTTTAAGAATAACAATGAAAGATCTATTTGTTAAAATACATGACTGCCAAACCATTGAATGTGATCTCTGTTGTACCTTTAGCCCCCTTCTCTTGAGGCAAGAGACAGCTTGCAGTTTTTGATAGGCAGAATTAAAAACTTTATTTTAAAATTTAAATACATTCTATAGAAGCTCTGTTCTCAGTGATATGCCTCCCCTTCCCTTCCCTCTGTTGCTGTTAGCACCCATTAGAGGTGGACAATTTCAGTACCAAGGACTCTTGGTCAGTCGCTGGGTGCTGGCATCTTTTGCACAGCTTCTCTGCTTTACCGAGATATCTAAACGCTCTGCATGTGCATGCCTGTAAAGCAGTGGAGTAGGAAGAACATCCCAGTGACCTGCCAGCTCTGTTTAGACTGCTGTGAAATGTTATGTAGGCATGACCGTTGCATCTCTTTCAACTTCCTACCTGAAATCTAGAGCCAGGCACTGTAGCACTCATAGGCACCCGTCAGCACTGTTCCATGGACACATCCTACTTCCCAGAGCCTCAGCATCGTTACAGTTACTGCCCATTGCAGAGTATTCACTGCAAAGCATTTCCATTTGCCAAGTACCTGGGTTACTGAGGGTGATGTGCATACTTCTCTGCTGTAACATAGCTTATCGCAATGACTGGGTCAGGTTAAGAGTTCTGGAAAGAGTCCAAAGCAAGGGAGGGCTTAGTTCAGCTGGTCACTCTTGTTCACTGTCCTTAGTTACTGAACTGGATCCCATCCACATCTTTTCCCAAAGTGCATCACGTTCCATGTAATTTCTGTAATGGGGCTGTCATCCGCAACAGAACATAAAGGGATTAGCACGTGGGGTGGTCCAGACAGGCCTGTAAGGCAGCTGAATCTGGACTGGATGAGAGTAACCAGAAGCAGTGACGACAGAGCATTTGAACACAAAATTTAAAAAGACGGGTATGAGAGTAGCCTGACCTGAAGGTGGAAAAAAAAAGCTTAAATTAAACATCTCACATGAGAGAGCAGCCAGTGACCCTCCTCCTCAGTTCTGCCCTGTTTTCACACTGCCTCGCTTCCTCATCTGTGCTCAACAAACAGCGAGGCTGAAGCTGGCTGATGGTGTATGAAGAGCACAAAGATACAACCTGAGGAAATACGTTAATTGCAGAACACTGTAAGAGCAAGGCCCCAAAGGACAGCTGCCTCCAAAGTGGACTCAGTATGTGCAGCACGTGGCACTGGATTATAATTTGGTGTGATGGGTAGGAGATGTGTTTCTTCTGAGTCAGTGGGTGTTGTAGACATGGGAACACCGGCGGTGATACCTGCCAGGTTGACCAGAAAGATAAGAATGGAGCATCTGGCTAGCGGAGGCAGTCTAGGCCGGGAACTGGAATTGTCTTGTTTTTATGCAAGGAAGGTTTCTTTTGTTTGGTTGGGTTTTGCTTTTTGTTTTTACCACAACCAGTTAAATATAGCCTGTCAATTAAGGATAATGTTTCTACCACAAACTCATAAAGAAACCCACTAAATAATTTGTCAGGAGTTTTTTAAAACAGGCAGTCTCTTGAGAAGAAAGGTCTAGGACTAAATTAGCAAGAATGCTGCAGGTCAGGTTTGAAGTACTGCGTGGTGACAGAATTGTTTGGAAAGATTTGCCTGGAATTCTCTTTCATTACAGCCATATCCAGCAAACACTTGGCAGAAGGTGCAGTTCTTGCTCATCTGAGTTGTCCTTCTGAAATCATTCAGATTATTTAAGTGAAAAGTGCCTTTCCCTAATGAAGAATTTTCAGGGTCTTTTTTGAATAGTGAGTCTATTCAAGGAGGGCTGGTTTTCATTAATAAACCTTTACTGAAATGCTGCTATCCAGAATAGCACATAGCAATCACTTTACAATATCAAACTTCTGTTTAAAAAATATTCTAAAATAAGCATAGACAATATGGTGGCATGAAAATTTGTGATAGCTTTTTCATTAAATGGTGCATTTTATCTTCCATAAGAGACTTCAATCAGATTATTTTTTAGAGCTATAAATCAGCAGTTTGATTCTATGACTTTTTACACCAGTTCTTACAGTACTTCTTCTGTTTGCCTGTGAAGAAAGGTTCATTTTTAGGCATGGAGGTTATTATAACAAGGAGGGCAGCCAAATATAATCAGACATTCTAGCATAATGCTAATTTTGGTGCAATGCAGATCACCTAGGTTGTTTTTAAAAAAATTTGTTTCATGACAGCAAATGGAGCACAGAACTTAGCATGATCCAACTAAAACCTGAGCAAAATCATGTTTATTCATTCAGACAGAATATTTGCATTTGTAAATGTGTTCCTGTGTTCCTCCGTTCTCACTTCTCTTTCTCAAAATGGATGTGACAGACATATCCAAGTTCAAAGGAAGTCTGGAACCCAGGCAATGTCTGAGAGTCCGTGGGACACTTAAATTTGTGAGCCTGATGAGTTTGCATACTACAAATGTTGAGGCAGTCCTGGTCAAATTATGCAGCCATTAGCTGTGGGTCCTTTAGCATTTGTGATTCCTCATGGTTAGCCACTGTATGTCCAAGTCTGGGTGAAAAAGTCTTTTTCTTCTGTGTGATTGAGAAGTTCCTGCCTTCTCTTTTCTTCAGCCTTTATCTTATCTTCTGTGTCTTTCTCTGGGAATAAATTTAAGATTAAGATAATACTTCAGAGTTTATAGACCTTGTCTAACAGATAGATTCTGATAAAAACCAGTCCACTGAAGTTATTGTCATAATATACAGAAGGGAAACAAAGTTCAGAAGTCTGTTTGAAGAAGTAATGTCAGTACCATAGGTGGGACAGGGAAGTCTAATACCATAGCAGTGCAGGAAGCGGGGCAGAGCCTAGCAAGCACACTGCTCTGAACCTCTGTGCCCAGGTGTTAGGACCTCTTAAGGACCCCCCCAAAAAAGCTAGCTCCACACTATTCTGTAGAAGGTAATGATGGTGCTGGATACTGCCAGAAGAATATGATTCTCAACTACGCAGCTGAAACAGGATCAAAAATAGCGTGGTTATAGGATCATGCAGGAGAGGAGTCATATTAGAAGCAGAAAACCTTGACTTTTTCTACAAGAAGGAGAGGTTTTTTTCTCTACAAACTAGATGTAGTTGAAGAACTCACTTCCTCTGGGCAAAAGGAGGGTTAATGAATCGTTTATTTATTTATTCATTTTGACATTTTGGACTGAGGTGTGGATTTCTGTTTCATTTAAAATGTAGTCAGGGTGAGATAGTTACCTGAAATATCTGACTTTTGGTGGTTCAGATGACAGTGAGATGAGCCTGAATGGGCGGGGTGAAGTTGAGAAGTATGAAGAACCATACCCTGATATCCTGATTTAGAAGATTGTTTCTTTGAATAAAATAGTTTTACTTTTCCTAGGTAAATTGGTTTAGCATCCCAGCACGGTACCTGTAATTCAGTTTCTAATTACGTAAAAACCCAAAACAAACAAACAAAAAACCCCACACCTAAACTAAAACATATCCTTATATATCCCAAGTGCTTAAGAATCCACAACAGTTTGAAAACACTACATTTGAAGTAATATCTAAAAAAAGCTGGCAAGACTATTGGTGTTTGAATGGCTGCCTTTTTCTGCAGTGTGTTACATTGTTGAACAGTTTTTCATTCCTGACTTAGAAACTGATTATGCATCCACTAAGCATAAAACTTTAAAGTAGTGAGAGAAGTCCAATCAATGTTTTTATAAAAATGCACAGGAGCCACTGTCAAAGCTGTGCAGTGGGTCCTGGCATGCAGACTGCTTGGTTAGATTCACTCCTCTGTGACCCAGGCAGATTTTAAAGTTTAAAAATCTTCACTTTCACTTGAAAAAATTTCCTTGAATATAAAGTAAGTAATGCTTTTAGCTTCTCAGCACGTAGCAAAAAATAAGTCCAAATACAGTTTGAAAAACTATGAACCTTTTAAAATTTCAGAAGCTCCTTACAAGAATTAAAACAACAAGGAGATCATGGAGTATGATGGAGTTTTCTGCTCCACTTTCTGCAAGGAATCATGCAGAGAGCTCCGTGTCCCTTGGGAATGGAGTGGCTGCACTGCCTGACTTCAGGTACTCATGTGGGTGATCTGAATCTTCCCCTGCAAGCCCGCCCTTCTCCCTCTTGCCTCCATGGGAAATTTAGGCTCCTTAATCTCACTGCTCTCACTTGCACCCTACTCGCAGACCAAAAGTCTCAGTGATGGCATCATCCTCAGGTCCCCTCCAACGGTCTTCTGTGCCCACATTGTTAAAATCGGAGGTGACGGGGATGAAATGCTCTAATTTATCAAATGGCCAAACTGAGTCTTACCTGATGTTGCCAGTTAAGGTAACGCATAGGAAACAGCCATATCCTGTATGTTCTGCCCGAGGCTCTCTACCTAGAGTGTATTCAGAAAGGAACATATGAAAGCAAGTGGTGGAATATGTTTAAAAAAAGAGGTTTTTTTAAAAAAGAGGTTTTTTAAGCTGGCCAAGCAACACTCAAAGTCCCAGGATTTCGTGGTGTCAGAAGTTAATTCCATTTTGTGCTGTTTCCCAGTTTTGATGCCATCTGCATGCACCAAAAGCTCAGCTTGCATACAGACAGCCCCGCTGGCATGTACACCATTTTCCCAAGCAGTGCATATACAAATGACATTTACAAAAAGCACTACATATACACGTAAACCATTGCAAAAGTGGTATAATTGGCGTTTTCTCATCAGATTATTTTCTGTAGGTAAAGGTTGCAGTTGTACATTTCTGAATAAAGTAAAATACTTCAGTATGTGAAATTTCTGTTTTTTCTGTTCTTTGAATTTCTGAAGAATCTGGTTTTATGCCAAACGCACTTTTATGGCCATATGTTGATTTTTCTAGGCAGAGTTACAGGAAGTGACTAGATTGTATGATCACCTTGTCTATCATGCCTGCAGGTAGCTTTGAAGGGAAGATAAGTGTCAAAGTATAATGCAGTCTGAGCGTAATTTATGAGAATGATGTATGTGAGAATGTTTTAGGAAATCAGCACCGTTTAGATGGAGCTGAAAAGATTCTGAATTCCGTCACCATTTTGAGGATCTTTAAAGTGAAGTACAAAATATAAAATAATGCGGATCTGTGAAATCCTCAGCGTTACGTCATTTACCCTCATCATGAAGCAAACGGTTGTCTGTGGAAGCTCTGACAATGCTATTTCAGTCTTCTTACTATATATTTCTTAATGCATATTCTGTTGCTGTTAAAGACATGTTAAATTACATTAAATTAAACTTTTCAATGACCTAGCATAAAACAAGTCCAATCAGAATGTAGAAAATAGTGAATATTTTCTTAAGCATTCTGAAGTTGCAAAAATCCCATTGGCGTGTTTGGTTCACCTTTTCTACCTGCATATTTTAAAAAAATACTTCTAGCATTTGCAGTTGTAATTAAGAGATCACCTACATGAAGACTAAGCCTGTCACTGTTTGGTTGTGTTAATGAAAGAATAGTTATATACTTTCAGTAGATCTCTTCTTTAACATCATTGAAATAAAACATTTCTTCACTATATTATTAATAAATGATTTATTTATTGAAATAACTACGTCAATTTTTGTTGCTTGATATTGTTATAAATGGTAAGGTTAGTTGAGCTAACTCCTTAGTTAGGAAGATTCACTCCCTGCCTTTTTAGACTATCATCCTATAAATGCTTATATGATTTACTTTGCATATATATGTAGCAGGGTTTCAATTAAATGAATATTGATGGAACTATTACCTTAGGTTATACAATAACCAACCAGAGATTGTTTTAGTTTTGTTTTTGTGGAATACCAAATGCTTTATTGTGACTTAACAATTAAAACATGTGTGCACATACTTCCAAGTTTTTATGCATAAAATAAAATGTATATTAATGTGTGATATCTGTGTATGAAATTTGCAGATACTAAGAAAAAGTGCAATATTAATGGTATATTTTTATCTTGTAGCTTGGATCATCTTCCTCTGTGCCTTTTACATCTATATTCTCGCAGCTGTTTATGACTGTTGTAGTCCCCCTTATTATTGGACAGGTATGTCTTTTAAATATACATTCTTATTTAAAAAAATAAGATAAAGCGCTATCTTAAAGACAGACTGGCAACCTGGTAAGCTGCCACATAGGAACAGCCTCAGGATAGTGAAGTCTAATATCAGAGAAAAGATGCTACAGTGCTCCCTGGAGCCACATTGATCTTTGTTGAGATTGAGCATCTGTCCCTCACTACCACAAACATACGCTACTGCATATCGAGAAGGGAGTTTGTGAACATAAAGTGGGAAAAATGGCAGCCCAGACTGTGAGAAATTCCAGCCCCATACAAATGAGCTTTGAGAATACTATATAGTCCTTTTGTCACATGCCCTTTGCCTGGATGATGAAGGAAGTTCTCCCTGTGTAGTGCCTACTATTAATGACAGGAATAAAAAATTTTCACTACTAATTACAGGAATAAAAAATTCTCTACATTAAAAGGCATATAAGGGCTAAGCAGTCACAAGTTAAGAAATAATAAAATTTAGGCTGCTCGAGCCATTTTGCATATGCTTTACAATAAGAGTTTTAATTGCACAATTGCAAACTATTCTTCCTGCATGACTCCTCTTATCATTTGTTACACTGGATGGAGGGTATTCATGGAATGAGCAGCTGTTCAATATTTCATTTTATACTCATTGTTCATATTGAAACACAAGGCCTTATTTTCCATGGCATATGACTGAAATCTTTCACTGAATGTAAAGATACTAATTGCAGTATGAGATTTTCTGTGACACTTGTCTCTGTAGTACCTGTTTTTTCACAAATATTAATTTTTTTTCCTCCCACATGACAGTGGGAAATTGCTATATAAAGACCAAAAGTTGTCAGAAGTGTCCACTATTCTTGGACACCAAAACCAAAACACCCAAAGCCTAATTCTTACATACTTGTAAGTATTCGTTGTTCTCAGGCATTCAGAAATCTTGAAGGGAATATCGGTGGGATTTGCAGTGCATTCCCAAGGGTTACTGTTGCTGCTTCTAACATACAGTTTAACTCTGGGTTCAGCTGGAACTTTCTGAATTCTGTCAGCCTAAAGCAGACTTTGAAATGGAAAGGTGGTTAAAATGTAGGCAAGTGGAAGTGGAGTCTATAAAGGAGCACCCTGGACAAAGTTGAGAATATCTGTCACTGCGTGTGCTATGTAGAACAGTCAATCAGTCTTGTACCAAGCTATAACTGCACTTTTCAAAATTGGCATGTACTGTAACTTACCAAAGTCCTAGTGAAGTTTGTTTCTTCCGTGGTCAAAAAACCCCATTAAAGTCTAATAAGATGATAAGCGCAATAGTAGTTACCAGCATTAGTAACTGCATAACCTAGATGTAACCATACCATGTGGAAAATGGACATAACCTCTATGTCCCTGAAGGCTATTGAATTGCTCCCATGCTTTGAGTTAAATGCCTAAGAACCTCCTTATTAATTAGGACCACAAAGGTTTGCTGATGAACCTATCTGTGTATCACATTCTTATCTCATCAGAATTAAATTAAGTCTTTACCAACAGTGGACAAGCAAAAGTACGTAAATCCTCTGGTCATAAAAGGTCCGAAAACTGGAAGCTATTAGTTGGAAGCCTTAGTTGGAAATTTCTAGAAAAAAAATAGCATGGCAGCAGATCTAGCAATGAAGTAACCTATAGTGATGGAGTATCAGCAATCTGTACTGCAATGTAATAAATCTGAAGATGATGGTAGATTGCTAGACAAAGTGATTGCAAAATTTCAAGAGGACTTTTCATCTATATGTATAATGTCGTGTTGCTTTGGAAAGATGTTACAAGAAATTGCTACATAAGCTAGCTGGTGGAGTTGGGGCTTTTTTTGGCTGCACCAAATAATAAGGCTAAGTAACATGAATTGAGCAGTAAGCATATGAAATAAGTGCTCTGAACGATCAGAAGTTCAAAATCAGAATCAAGATGAGACTTAACTGAGAGCAGATGTGATTTTAGAGTTCTGATAAAGACTGAAAGAAAAAAAAATAGAGTCTCTTAAAGCTTGTGTAACCTGCTCACAAATTTATTTAAGAGTTTGGTTTTTTGTAAATACACTTCAACAAAAAATAGGATGATTCTCCTTTAAAAGAGTTTGAAGCAGTTTCTGGAAATGAATGATCAACATTAATAGCTCACAGTCCTCTAAGCATAAAGGCTTTGTTTCTAACGTTATTGCACTTGATTATATCTGTTCAGAGAATATGGAAGAGAAGAAACGCTAAGGATAGCTACAGATCAAAAATGCTAAGGGTAGTTTATGTTGATTGTCTTGATTAGGTAGAATTGTACAAAGGTAAACCAACCTGCCCAGATAAGAATAGAAGCCATTTTTGAAGGTGGATATCCAAAAATAGCGTGCAATAATCAGGGAAAAACAATAAGCAAGAAAAGGACTGACAGCAAGAGATGCAGTGATAGGTCTGCTTGCCCTTCATCTGGAGATGGCATGGATCTGCTCCCAACTAAATGGGAAGTTTTGCATTTAGTTCGTAGACCACTACTCACTCATTACTGAACTGTTGCACAACGTGCGGCACAGCAACATAATATTGCTTTGTGAATCACAAGTTGTTCACTCTGGGATTCCAGATGCATTAGGAGATAATGGCCCACAATTCATGAATGACAGTTTCAGCAATTACTTCCAATTTATCATTTCATGCTCACAATGTCAATTCCTTACCATGCACTGTCATGCTGTTCAGCAGAAAAGTCAGTGGAAGAATGCATGGTAAGGTTACCTGGTAGTGAAGAGCTTGATTGGGGAAAAAAAAAAGAGCTTGGAACCTGCCTGCTTGGAGGATTGCTTCTCTTCAGCCTTCCTAACTCAGCTGTGATCAACAGAGGCTTTATGCTCAATCCACATAGGTGTAAAACAGACAAGGCTGCTTAAAGGAAGCATTCTCCACGGGCTTTATTTTCCTTTAAAAAAAATCTCGCCTCTGGGAGAACCTGTGTTGCCTAAACGCTCATTTCCTGAGCAGGCTGCAGAGCTGGCTGTTTGAGCAGCCCCTGGGATATAAGCAAAGCAGATGAGAAGGTGCTTTTAGATTTGTTTTGTTTGGGGTTTTTTGTTTGCTTTATGGCAAAATGTATCAAGAGTTTTGGTTGCTTGGCTGACTTGTCAGAATTTTTAACGATGGCTGGGAGAAAGAAGTCGCAATAGTGTAATGGATGCTCATTTTCTACTGTTTCTTGAACAATTTTTCAGTGTGGCCAGACTGCCGTTGACAGGAGTCAAACATGCTTTGCTAGCTGCTGACAGTGAAATGTGTAAGGGGCTGCAGGTACAGGCTCTGCTCAGGTGGTGGCTGCCATTTGGTAGGTAAAGAAAGAACTGTTAAAGGAGGAGGAAGATACCATGTTATCAGGAAGGCACCGAGTCTTAGAGATAGCAGTTACTGATAGATCGTCTTCAATAAGGAGAATCACTCTGTTCTTTGTCAGAGATGTGCAGGTTGTCTAAACCTAAAAAACTGTTGTGGCCTGCATCCTCTGTGTCTACAGATGTGTTTTGCTAATTGACAGTATGATGTTACTCAAATCAGAACTGATAGTATAATATTGCATTTGTATTTATAGAGTAACGAATAAGACCTCTCTGACAGGAGGTCTCGAAAAGAGACATGGTCTATAGTATTTTATGAAGATCTAATGTTCTGTAAGCCTTGAAGATCTGTAGTGTGTAAGAGCTTGTTATTTGTGCACCACTCTTGTATATCTCTAAGGGGAATTTGAGAATACTTGTTATATGATAAACACGGTAATAGATATTTCATGGAAAAGATTTTTGAATTTGCTCTGGCAGCTTGAAGTTCTGATTATTTTTTTCCTGGGTAGCAGAGTTCTGATGAAGATTGCTGCTCCTGAGCTGTTGTGGTTTTGCTAAAATAATTATTTCCTTGTCTATAGATGTTGATAGTACTTTTAGCCAGCAAAATGTAAGGTTTCGAGAAATGTCTGAGCAGTTTCTGCATGACCAGCTGTGAGATTTGGCTGAAGACTGTTGTTTCTTTGCTTATTTTTTTCTTCTAAAGTGACAGATAACAGTGAAAACCACTGCAATATTTCCTTTCCCCTTTTTGCAGACTTTCTCCATTCTCTACACCGAAATGCTTATGACAGACTTTTATTTTATGTTTTATATTAAAGAGCGATTTATGATTAAATGTTAATGAAATAGAATTTTCACTGTGCTTTCATTATATTCTACTAGTTTGAACATTTTTCAAAGCAGCACACCAAAACCCGCTGTTTTCTATGAATAAATAATAAAAAGCTTGTCTGTACATTATCATTCATGCATTCTCTAGTTGCCCCATTGGTAATTTGTCTGCCAGTGTAAAGTGGGCACTTCACATTAAACAGACCTTAACTAAAGCTAAAATTAATGTTATGATTCTAAGTATTTCTTCTTCCCAAATCTATAAAATGAAGCCAGTTGTACAGAAATCCTCGCTGAATCTAGTCACACACAAAAAAATCTTGAAGTCCTACAAGTGAGGGATTTTAAGTGCCTTCTGCATCGTTGCCCAAAATGTTTTAGAGGAACCCTCTCAGCATTTGGGAGGTGTGCTTATAAACACAACTCTAAAAGGGTGCTATGTTGCAATACAAGTTGTCAGTGAAATTGAAACTAAAAAGCTTAGCAATGTATGTATTTTTAAAAAATAAGAAATTGAAAGGGAAAAGTAGGTGGCAGTTGCTAGGGAGTAGAAGGTACTACTCACCTAAGCCCTAATGTTTGTTTATAGTGGGTGGATGGGGGAAACAATAGTTAAAGAAACTGTTACAAAAAGGGAACAGTGTCAAATCCTTTCATTCTTGTAACTTAAATCCATGTGGAAGTAGCCCTACTTCCTCTTCAAAGTCCAAAGGAGCTGCAGGGAGGAGGAGTGGTACCTTGGGAGATGAGCGCTTCTGGAAGCTTGTTGCAGAAAACTGAGATGGCAGATAAACAGCCTTCAGACCACAGTTTGCTCCCTTCT